ATTTTTGGAATTTGTCTTGGACTCCTTTTGTGAAGTTTCTCCTAGTTTTTTTGGCTTCTTGAACCTTTTGCTAGTCTTTGACCACAACCTTAGATTTCCCTGTTGCTTAAGTGTTTTGTGATACCCTACCTGCACAGAGTCCATCCATATGCTAATCGTTGATCCTCAGCAAAACATTTCTGTTTGCTAATTCTGGGCTATTTCTTTGTTTCCTGTGGCTGAATCCTCCCATTTAGTCTAATCAGGGTAACTTGTACCTCATCTTTAACCCCTATTTTCCTAATTTCTTGTGGAAACTCTTGTCCACTAAGGGCAGGTTCATTAGCAGTGAAGACAATGATATGAATCTGATTGATCATTACCTAATAGACAAAGACAATTGCAAAATATTGTTCTGAATCGGCTTATAGATTTATGTACTTCCCCATAGTCATCTGAATGGTCGAAAACATAATGAATGACAGGTATTTGAACCAATCAGGTCAGCTTTTTCAGAGGTGCCCAGTTTGAAAAGCCCCAAAACCCACTAGCATTTCAGACAACCCTGAGCAAGAGATGAGTACAGACTTCTCTGTATGGGTTATTTTTTCATTGTACCTTTGCGGTTTACAAAGTAAGGTCTTGGGATTTTACATATTTTGGCAAAATTTTGCTTTTCCAATTGTGTTTTGCTGAGGTATCGATCAATTATCAATGGACTTCAGAATTGTTCTGAACTGCATCAAGACATAAATTGCCTGTAGAAATTGATTGCTTTGCTGTACTTTGGATTGGGAAACAGCTTTGTGATGCTTCAATTGTCTTGTTTCATTTGATGTAAGACCTGTCGAGCTGAATTTTGATTTTGCTGGTGAAAACGTATTGCATTTACATGTTGTGCTGTGTGGTTATTTGTTATCAAGGTTTATTAGAAAAATGTTTTATTACAGTGAAACCAGACCATCTGGTTTGACTTAGACGATATTGGTGGTCACTTGCATTGTGTTAATGTCATGTTCGTAAACCCCTCCTCTTAAGGATGCTCCAACTCTTCCTTGTTTTTTACTCATCTCCCCCACCTGCTCCTTGTTCCAGCCCCCTTTTCAGTTCCCCTTAAAAGCCAGGTGCTCACTCTATTCCGGTCTCTGCATTGGTTCCCATACCAGGCGAGTCTGGGACCTGGAAGCGCCTGGTCCCATCAAGTTTTTAGTTCCTGTTCCTGTTCCCGTTCCCGTGCCGGTGCCGACCCGGTTCCTGTTTTTAATCTCGTTTGTGTTGGATGGACCGCCCGGCTTTGGACTTTTGCCTCCCCTCGGATTTCCCCCTTGGACTTATTTCTGGATTGTTTGCCTCGGCCACACCTCCCCCGAACACCAGCTCACCATGGACAGGCCCCCTGTTTTCATTCCCGAACCTGCATGCTTTTTCCCCGTGTTTTCCTCAGTCTACCCCAGGTCGTGTCGTCTGCATAGAGTCCTGAAAGAACACTTTTGTTACGCTTTTGAAAGAACTTTTGCAGTGCCGTTAAAAATCAATTTATCTTAAATAAACATTGACTGTGGGGTGTGGGGGGATCAGAACCCCAAGGTGACTCTGCTACACACTACTTAACCTCTTGGATATCAAATCTGAAACATCAGATTTTTATATGTCTTACTCAGCATATTCACTAGAAAGAACAATACGCAGCGATTATCAGCTGCCAGTGAAAAGGTGTCATCAGCAAAATGTGCTCTGAGGCAGATCCTGTGGTAAAAGCATCAAGGTCAACATGGGTTTTGGAGATGTCCTACGTCTTGGAGACTGGTACAAAACTGAGGCCTTTACTGAGAAGAGATAGTCATCTGGTCATCCTTTCTTCATCCTTTCACCAGTCATCCTTTTTTCTAACTGCCCCATCATCTCATATCTCTGACCCCCTAATCCGCATAACCTTCTTGTTCACAGTTCCCTTGACCACCATCAACAATCATCCACACCAGGCACTTTCCCCAGCAACAGAACTCACTGCATCACCTGTAAATCTATATCCAAAACCAGGCACATTCATGGGCCCCTCTGGACAATCACTAAGATGACATTTTGTACATCCAGTAACCTCATTTACTGCATCTCTTGCAGGAAATGCCCAGCCATCTATAGTACATTGGTGAGATGGGAAGGAGACTGGGAGACTGCTTCAGGGAACACGTCAGGGCTGAGAGGATCAAAGATCTCTCCAAGCCCATAGTTTCCCATTTCATTTCTAATGGCCATGATCATACTGATCTCTCTGTTTGCATTCTGACAAGAGCCTCCTCTCCACTCCTGTCTTTTATTCTCCAATGCTTTATCAACTGTTTTCCTCGCTCCCTCACACCTAAAAAAAGCTTCACAGTCAGAACGTTGTGTCTCTTTTCTTTTCCTTTCAACATGGAATAAACCTTCACTTGTTCCTTTATAGCCCTGTACTGTTTATACTGTAAAGTCCGTAAAAGTCTGTAAAACTTGTCCATAAAAGGGATTAGCTGTGCACGTGAAGAAGCAGTTAAGCACGTTCTTCATTGTTCCTCATTGTTTTTGTAACACTGCCAGGAACATATGGCAGTCATGCCTTGAGATTACAACAGACATGCCAGTTCAACATATACATACAAAAGTGGAACTACATACTTTCACAACTGCTGGAGTGGAAAGTTTTGAGACACAAGTGTTTAAGATATAAAAGACTTATACCTGAATTAAGAGCAATTCCCTCAATGGTAATAATATAGGTTGACCAGAGCTGGACTCAGACTACAAAACCATCTGTCACGCTGTTGTAATTCAACCTACTGTGAGAAATACGCTTTGTGTGTCTCCTTCCGTGTTCTCCGGAAAATTCTGTTTTCAACACCATTAACCTGATCTAAAACCTTCATTGGATTGCTCTGTGACTCTTTGCATTCCTACAGAGGATGGAGAAAAGGGGAGGGATGAAACAAATATAGACTGGAGTTGTAAGTATGATGGGATAGATGCGTAATGATGAAAATTAAAGAGAAAGAACATCTCTATATGTTTATGTCTGCTGCATCACCTGTGGCTTTCTACACATTAGAAAAAATACACTGGTGGAATACACTCGTCAGGAATGACCCGCTGAGGAGATGGGAGGATGGACCCTATGCGGTAACTAAGGAGCTAGACGAGAGGTGAAGTCCGAGTCGGGTTCCGAGGATCGTAGGAAAAGGCAGGAGAGAAGGTTTCCAAACCAGAGAAGGGCAAGACTGAAGTCGTAGTCAAGAAGGCAGATCTGAGAGTCAAAAGGAGGAGATAAACGAGTAGGCTTCCAAATCCGAAGGGCGAGACAATAGATGTAGTCGAGGTTGAGTTTTGTGGTTTGTAACAAAGAGCCAGAAGGAAAACAGAATCGAAGGCGAGGGAGGTGAACAAACAAACAACCAAAACCAGGCGAAGAGCAGAGGGTTCAAAAGGGCTTAAGTACTGTGCTAGGAAGAAGGTGCGTTGATTGAAGAAGTGTCGTGGTTGGCCGATTTGCAGGGGTGGTGTCGTTTGGCGGAAGTGCTCAGGGTGTGTAATTAGTACGGGTGCGTTTCAGTGTGAGAATGTGGTGAGTAGAGGACGTGACAACACTTTGGGTAACCAAATTAGATAACTGACATACACATATTGTTGATGAGTGTGAGAGCACTTGACATTAACAAAAATATATATACAAGTGGAGATATATATATAAATATATATAGTGGGGAGATAAATATATACACAATGCTTTGGTTAGACAGATCACATTGGGGAGCTAGGACTATTTTAGGACACAAGATCATATGAACATAAAATAATGCAAAGACAAAGGCATCTCTAACATGATTCTTAGTTTTACAGAACGTATTTCAAGGTACATGTATTTTGATATGTTCTTTGTACCTTTGTGTCTTTGTTTTGAAGATGGTATGTGCATTTCAGAGCATCTCAGCTCAAGGAGTACGTAAAGCATTATGATCACCATGTCTTACTCAGTATTATTTGTCTTTCTCTTTACTCTTTTTATATTGTATTTAATACTAGTTTCAAATTAGGATTATTGTCCAAGTCTGTGAAATAAATCTCACTCATTAAAAATGGTATTTTAAAAATTTTTATAATCATGTTTTAAATATAATAATTAGTACTGGTATTTCAGAAGATAGTTTAGCTGTATATAAGATCATAAAGCTAGACTATCTTTGGAAATACTAGTATTAATTATTTCAATTGAAGCTAAGTCATAAGCTAAACATTTTTTATAGAGACTCATTTTGTACAACGAGGTATTACTGAATCACTGTCATCTATTTCTGCTCTAAGTGTTAACACTATTTTAAGAAACTTAAAGGGATTTTAAAAAAGCAGCTAAATACCATAAGCTCAATATTTTTAGTACAGATACCTGTTAACTCGCATTCAGTGTTATTGTCCACTCTCCATAGATAATGTAAATATTTAATGATTTTTACAAATCAAATTATTCTGAATAATTAATGAAGAGAGTGCAAATATTTTTTTACATGACGGCATACTTCAGAAATCTGTTTCAGACTTAGTAATTTTTATCTGAATATGATCTTCTCCACTGATCTGTAATTATTACTGAACTATTATTTCTAATATTTACTTTTTTGAGATTATGCCAATGCACAAACTATTGTACCTGGCACATTAATGTTTTAAATAGCAGTTAATTGAGAATGTGTCAATGTTCTCTTTATATCTTAGATGTAACAAAGAATTTACACATGACTTTGAAGCCCTTATGCTAAAGATTTAGTATTGCAATTGCCCAGACCTCTGATTATCTCCACATACCTCTAAATGAAATATCTTGGTAATCAATAATCATGAAGCTCTTAACCCCAGTGCACAATAATTGTTAGAATTCAACTCTGCTGGGCCTCTACTGCAGGCTGTGGTCTAAGACGACAGAGGCTTCACATCTTGTAAAAAACGTATCTATATTTAGTGCGTTGTGTTTCACGTAACGCACAAAGAGACCTGCCAGATGTACGTGACTTGGGTTAACCTGCTCAGGACAGTAGACCTGGGGAATATTTCTAGTCAGAAGCAAAAGACAGCAACAAACAAGTGAGTCAAGACAGCAGAAAGGATCAGAGAAAAAACATTAAAAAGAAATTCAAGGCTGTAGGATGGATAGTTTTTCAAGATTTATTTCATAACTTAGGAAGACCCAGAGCAAAATATCTTCTACCCAGCAGATATGACCACCTGTTCTTTGAAGAAAAGATGCATTTCTCTAAGGCCATCATGTTGATTAGTAAGTACCAAGATAAAGGAATAATATTTTAAAGGAAGAAGGCCCAGTCTAGCATTCAGTGGTAGAGAAATATACAAGTGATTTTTGCTGTTGAATAAATACAAAATATTATTGGAATAATAGGTATCAAGGTCCAAAGATATCTCTAGTTTCCAATGCAGGAGAAAATGAAGATTACTATGGCAATGAACTAACAAAAAATAGAATCAGTTCATAACCTTTTGATATACTGTAGTTCTATAGATCCTATAGATTTTTATATTGTTTTATATGGGTTTCCATATAGGGTCAATTGTTTTTTATATTGGTTTAATTAGATTTCTGTTTAGGTTCTGTGTTTTTTTTATTATATTGATTATGTAGTTTTCCATATAGATTCAATATGTTTTATGTACGTTGTATAGTTTTTTATGTTGGTTATATAGATTCTGGGTTTGGTATATGGGTTTCTCTATAGGATATATACAGTAGATATATATAGTCTATATAGATATAGACTATATATATAAAACTATAATATAGTTTTCTATTTTGTTCTGCAGGAAAGAAGAAACACTGATATTAAATAAGCTGAGTAAACAAAAAAATGTTTAATCATTTGTAAATAATTGAATGTATTTAATCTCTCTGGTACAATATGAACTACACTGCTCATCATCACATTCCACAATTTTGTAAGTCCTTTTACAAACTTCCAAATAGATTCCACAAATAAGATTCCAGCGTGGACAGGAAGACAAAAATATTTTGGGGGGTTTCTGCAAACCCAAAGCAGAAAATTTAATTCTCCTTCCAATAGTCGTTTTAATAATGCCTGGTGCTCTCGAAGGATGTTTAAGTGCAGAAATTACTTGAGTGTCTGAACATGCCTGCATGAACCCAAGAGAGGAATAACTGCTATTTCACTGTACTCTGACCAAGGCAAGGGAGTACTTTTAATATTTATTTTGATTACATTTGTTTTCCAGTTCTGGTCGACTGCACCTCTTGGCTTTTGGATGTGGGAGGTAAGTGAGCAAGGAATTCTTTCAAGAACATGTGGCCAGCACCCCTGGTTATTAAGAAGAAAAAAGCTGACAGAGCATGTATCTGTACTTTTGAATGCTGTGCATTAACTAAGACTGTAAATACTGAATAGAACATAATGCTTTGCTCCACTATCACTAACATATTTTGATCAACTTTATTTACGTGGTTATTTACTATTTCTACAACATTTTTTTAGATTTATTAAACAGTCCCTATTTGTTCCTGTATATTTTGCACACCGTTAATATTTTTAGAGAATGCATTCCTTTTAGACATTAGTACAAAAATGTAAATGAACAACTACAGAACAATAAATGATGATAGTAATGTGAATGATTCCTGTTTCTGCCTGAACTGATTCAATATATCCCTGTATACATGTTGAGATTTAGAGGTAAAATACTTCCTTGGTTTCATGTATTGGAGGTGAGTGAGCAAGTAATTTTTCAGGAAAAGGACAGCACCCTAAATATATGGACCAGTGGACCAGATTTACATATTGAAATACACATTTACCAGAGTTTATCTGAAACTTTAACTTCAAGGAAACCCCTCTGGTTCTTGTAGACCCTTTGGCAGAATAGTTTTACGTGTCATTTAGTGTAAAAAAAAATTTCAAAACATTTTTCATACAACTGGAATGTAAGAAGAAAATAGGTCGACAGTATCTGTACTTGTGAATGCTGTGCATTAGCAAAATAAAATGATACGTTTAGATGTCATCATATCAGTTTCAGTAACAATACTTATCTAAATACTGACTTGGCACTAATGCTCTAATTCTCTCATCTTTATTTTTTAATCAGTTATTATTTAATTTTACATATTTGTATTATTTACACAGCAGTTCTATATTTCTCCAATATTTTCTACATTTATTGGATAGTCATTAATATTGCTTTGTTGTGCTCATGGTGAATGTTTACTTTTAGACATAAGAGAAACGAAACTTAAAGTAACCACTGCAGTTAGTGTACAAAGAACAAAGTTCCAAAATGATTCTGTCCAAATGAGTCAATGTATGACTATATTAATGGTGTGATTCAGAGGTGAGTTTTAATCCATACATCTCATTTCAGCCATTAACAGGGAGCCTATAGTGATGTCGTACCCCCCAGATGGTGGTATATTTGAAGGGGACATGGTGACCTTGGAATGTAAGGTCGATGGCGACTCCAAGATCTGGAGTTATTTCTGGTTTAAGGACAGTAAACAGGACGAATCTCATATAAACCACAGTCAGTACAGAATCAGTTCAGTCTCAATATCTGACAGTGGGGACTACAGCTGTTACATTGTGATGACAAGTGACCCTGTAGAACAACATTCCAGCAAACCCTTTACCCTGCAAGTGTTGGGTGAGTAAAACCAAGCATTTAAATAATTGAGAATCACAGCCGTTTCCCTGTGGGGATCAGAGATGGGGCTTTAGTAAAAAAAAAATTAGAATACTGTGATCACGCTCTGATGTGGTTGCAGGTTTTTATTCCAAAAATTTGAATTTTATATTCCAGTTAGCCCATTTACCCCTGTCTATTTAATGCTGCTTCACACTCTCCACTGTGCTCAGTATTAGGGTTCTTCCTGGCTAGAGCTACCTTGATTCTCGCAATTACTTACTACATGGTTTTTGGCTTCCTGATCCTGGCTCTTTTTTCAATTACGTCTCCTGGTTTTTGGCTTTGGAACTTTGATTCCCGATCTGGTTTAGACTCTCGGCTTCCTCTCGGTTTATGGCTTCACTTCTGGTTTGTACTTTTGCACCAGCTTGTCTACCATCGGCTTTCAGACCTCGGACTGTTCTATCGACTACGCCTCTGGAGATCGCCCTGGTTTTCTGCATAGGATCCTTACTACTAATTCCTAACACCGTACAGGCAACAGAATCACAGACAGAAACAGCAACAAAATATCTATTTTTCATTGACTGTGTCACATCCTTTAGGGATTTCCTTTAATATTATGTTCTGTCAACCATAACATATACAGATATGGGCCAGCTGGAACTGGAAATGTAAATGTAGATGAGTCATTTCCCCTGAAAAGCCTAACACAGAGTGGTGTTTCAGAGCCTGGTGCTGGTATTATCTTATAGAGCTGGTGTCTGGGTTATCCTCAGTAAGCTGCAGATCAAGCACTAATGTAATTTTTGAGAATCGCTTTGCTTTGACACACTGCTGATATACTAGTTCATAGTTTATGTTGTACTCCCTTCCTGTATATCTGCAGAACGGCCCCGAGCAGTGATATCCTTGGGACAGGAGTGGTCAGAGGTGCACGCAGGAGAGACTGCAGTACTGAGGTGCTCCATCTCTGGAAGTTATCCGATGCAGAGCTTTGGGTGGTACAAAGATGAACACACATCTCCAGTTCACCAGTCTGAAGATAAGAATTGGACCATCCTTTCAGCTCTGGAATCACACACAGGACATTACTCCTGTCAGGGCAGGAGCAGGGAGAATCCATCTTACTCCAAAAAGAGCAGTCCAGTCAAACTGAAAGTACAGGGTATGGTGTCTCGTTCACTCTTACTTGCAGCTTTTCTATATGGAAAACGGGATCAAATCTAGCCTTTCCTTGCACTTTAATGTCGGAACAATGAGATACATCTCATAAGAAATAGGTGCTGTTGCAGATAATGATAGAAATAGGTTGAAATAGAGCGCAGAGCAGTGAAATAACAGCAACACCACAGCAGAACAAATCAAAATGGTGAATATCATGCTAAAGCAAAACAAACATATTGTATATGACAGCAAACAAAAAGCTGAAAACTCAGAGTGCAAATTAACAACTGTCGAATTCCACAGGGGTCTCTTGCAGTTATGTTGTTGATTCCTATAAGTGATCTGTCTAGCTGTGTGTTTGGTAGCATCATTTGAAGCTCTGAAACAGGCCTCTACTGTCTATATTTACAAAGATATTACAAAATGTCCGAGGGGACGTCATACCAGGTGGAAATCACCTCTGGAGATTTGTGACACCAAGGAGTATTAAAAGGTTAATGTAACGAACAGTTCTTTCCGGACCCTATGCGGACGACACAGTCCGACGGAGAGGGGAAACACTAGGGAAACGTCATGCAGGAAAACGGGGCTGAAGACAGGGGGGCGTGTCCAAGGTGCGCTGGTGCACGGGGGAGGTGTGGCCGAGGCGAACAATCCGAGAGTAGTCCTTAGGGAAAATCCAAAACGCAAGGGTAAGTCCAAAACCAGGAGATCCATCAGAGCAAGAATTAAAAAACCACGAAGGCCGGGTCGGAACCGGCGGACGGGGAACAGGAACGGGAACCGAGATTAAAACCTTAACGGGACCAGGCGCTTCCTGGTCCCGGACTCGCACGATATGGAAATCAGATGCAGAGCCCGGATGGCGTCAGCGCCTGGCTTTTAAGGTGGGCAGGGAATAGGGAGCAGGTGCATGGAATAAAGTCTTGAGTGATAGGGCTGGAGCACCCTTAAGGAGGGGGAACTAATATCGTGACAGTTAATCCCTTTCATTTATGAGAAATTTAAATTAGGCAGCCAATTTGGTGAATTAAAGGATAAAAGGATGTTCTAAAGAGAAAATTAAGAAACCGATAGAATTGAACCACATGAATTGACACTATGAATACAGTGTGAAGTGAAGAAAGACACCTTGTTAATTAATAGGACATTTAGGGTAAATTGAAGAATTCTTTCTATTTTAAAGTCATTTTTCTCTGTTTCAGTCACCCGTCCCAGAACTGTCCTCTCCCTGCAGCGTCTGCACACAGAGGTGTTTGAAGGAGACACAATCACCCTCTCCTGTGTGGTGGAGGACAGCTCTCCAGGCTGGAGCTTTTACTGGTACAAAGACATTCTAGACAAGCCAGAGCACAAGAGCCAGAGCTCCAGTTACATCGTCAGCCCTGCTAATCTGTCTCACACTGGCCAGTACTGGTGTCAGGCTGCACGAGGACAGAAACCCTTTTACCTGAACCCCAGCCAACCCATCAGTCTCATCGTGTTGGGTGAGTATTACACAGATAATGCTGGTCGCAGTAGTCTAAGGTACAAAAGTAGGTTTGGAGATTGATCGCAGAGCACTTTTTTCACTTGAAGCATTTTTTAATGCAGGGCACTTCATCTTCTGCAGTTGTGTTGGATTGCTACCAACTGGTGTGTGCAAACAACTGGTCTCCCAAAATCACTTCCAGAAGCATTTACAGTATATAGTGCTGAAAGCCTGAATACCACCATTCAATTTGACACAATGACTTTGCTTTGCATTGTGTAGCACAGATGAGCCCAAAGCATTTTAGTGCACCAGACACTCCATTGATAATAAGGATTATTCTACCAGATACACAACTGTTGGCCTAGTCAGAACAGAAATTGCTGGTGTCGGGGGTGACACAGAAATGACTGTCAAGATTTCCCTATCCCTCTATGTGTGTCTTTCACAGAACTCACTGATCCTGCCCTGTCAGTCCAACCAGGAAGCTTAGTCACGGAGGGCGACTCTGTCGCTCTGCACTGCCACACTGCACTGAGTGACAAAGCCCACGAAAGGCTGCACTTCTCCTACGTGAAGGAAGGAGGGGACTGGAAATCTGAGAGCTCAGAGAAGACTCTTACCATCCCGGTGATCCGGCGCAATCACACAGGGCAGTACTGGTGTGAGGTTGAGGCAGTGGGGACTGGGATCAGAAAAAGAAGCAATGAGACTGGAATCACAGTGAGAGGTGAAGCCATTTGTTTTGGCCTGGTTGTTCCCCAACATCAGCCCTGACGCAAATGAAATAATAAAACAGACAGTTTTACAATTCATCAGCTCTCCAACAAAGCAACAGAGCTAGTAGATAAGTATATTTGCAATGATATATCCTAAATTAAATTGTAGCAGCAGCAGAACTTGTTCTTAGATTGAAAAACAAGTCATTATGATTGAAGTCATTATGTTTTAACTTGCGAGCACTGGTTTCTTGAAGAAAGAAAAACCGATGCTAAAAGCTAAAAAGAATGCATTAAACAAGCAAAAAAAAAGAAAACAACATGGGAGCATCATTAAGCATATGAATGCTTACTACAATAGTATGTAAGATACTAGTTTTTGTCCTTTTTCTGTCGCACAAAGTCTTTCAAGGACTATAAATGACATCTGATTCTTCTTGGGCAGAGCTCTTCCACAGAATCAGTCTCACAGTCCTGCCCCTGGGGCCTGTCTGGGAAGGAGAGACTCTGACTCTGCACTGCACCGTCCAGTTAAACACCCCTGCACACACCCCTGAACTGCAGTACACCTACATTAAGGACGGAAGAGTCCTGAGGTCCAGACCAGAGGACAGACACTCTGTTCCAGCAGTGAGGCTGAAGGACTCTGGGAAATATCTCTGTGGAGTGGAAGCCCAGGGAAAGGGGATTCAGGCCATGAGCAGTGTAGTGGAGGTCAATGTGACAGGTGAGTCACACTGCAGAGGGCATGAGGAAGCTAGTCATTACACAGATATAGGCAGATATCCCTACTTAGGCTGCAAAGGAACAAGTAAAGGGTTTATTCCATGCTGTAAAGAGAAGAAAAGAAACACAACGTTTCTTCAAGTCTTGACACCTGAAGAAGTCTCCACAGCTGAAATGTTGTGTTTCTTTATTTGTCTTTACAGCATGGAATAAGCCTTTACTTGTTCCTTTGCAGCCTATGCATGCTGACATGGCTACCTACTTGAGCTACTTCATCCCTCCTTAGGTCTCACTTTTCTTGTTTGCTTGTCTATCACATTGAGCTTGATGACATTTGTGCATTTTGTTGGCATTTTTCAAAGTGTTTTTTCATACAAAAGCAAACACTGTTATCTCTTCAAATCTCCCTAGAAAAGTAAAATAAAATGCTGGTGTGCAATTCATCCATCAGTAGAAGAATATGAGATACAATAATCTAGTTTGCACCTATATTGCATTAAAAATAATCTATCACATAAAAGAACAAATGTCATGAAAGAGAGAAACAGGATTTACTATAACTGATGCAGCAGCAGTGACATCGTTATTAGAGAAACATTTTCTTACACAATGAGGAGTCACATGGTTCTTCAGCTCTGACAATGTTCCTGGTTGTGTCTGCAGAGCGTCCAAAGCCCAGAGTGACCCAGGAGCCAGCGTGGGAGAAGCTGTACTATGGAGAGCCAGTGACCCTCAGATGTCTCCTCAGTCAACATTTCCACAGTGTGGAGTATCTCTGGTTCAGAGGGGATCTGAGAAGCCCTGTGTTCCACACAACTGAGCACAGTGTCAATGGCAACAGCCTTCAGATCTCTTCAGTGGTCCTGTCTGACCAGGGGCAGTATCTGTGTCTGGTCCATAGAGGGCGCCCTACTCAATACTCGCAGCCCAGCGACCCTTTTCTCTTAAATGTCTCTGGTAAGACGGGCTGCAGCTTCAGAAAACACAATAACACAATAATACACAATAATGTATGATCATTCTCACGCTGTGTTTCACTCTGAGAGCGGGTTTCCATTCTGTTTTGTGGTTAAGCAGAAACTTGAAGAGGATCAGAACACAGAAGTGCTTTTAACTTTCACTGGCAGACGTATAGCTGACTCAAACACCAACTGTCTGCCTCTGGAAAACAATGTTTCACTTTTGTTGGATCAGAACATAACTGAGCAGAGTGTGGGAACATGTGACTCACCAGCTCATTCCTAGTTCTGCTCACCATTAACAGTGAAACTTCTCACTGAGACACAGTAAATCTACTACAATGACCAAGGATGATTGAAATTAATGAATTAATAAATTTAAATAATCTTTTTTTTCCCTTAATTATATGTATATTTTTAATAGAGGAAAAAATATTCAAATAAAATGAAACATTGCAACAGCTTCATCTAGAAGCCTGGCGTGTTACTGCAAGAGAACAGATTTATTTTTTTTTAAATAAAGCTGCTGTTGTATTATGGTTAATTACGATGGAGACCAATTCATGTGATATCAGGCACTCTGTTGACAAATGGCAGTCCTTCACTCTCAGGAATGCAAAACATTTAAGAGGAGGTTTCTGCAATACAAGGTGACATTTAAGATTAGGAACTGTAAATGCATTTACAGCATCAGTGGAGTGTTAATGACTTCAAATGACTCACTGTGACTATTACTTTACATAATATAGTTGCTCGTGGCTTTTTCTTTGTGTAACCTTTTGCAGTTCCTATTGCTCTCCAGGTCAAGATTCTTGATTTCACGTTTGATCAGCTGGGCTGTTTCTCTCTGTCTCCCCCAGTGGACCCCTCCAAGGCCACACTGAGGCTGCATCCTGATTGGACAGTACTGTTTCCTGCAGAGTCGGTCACCATGGGCTGCAGGCTGGGAGGAGACTCCAGCAGGAGGCAGTATAGCTGGTACAGAGTAACTGCAGGAGGAACTGAATCAGTACAGTGCCAGTGGGAGAATGGGAAAAACTGTCAGGTTACTTTCAGAGACGAGTCTCACAGCGGACTGTACTGGTGTGAGGCCCAGTCTGGACAAGAACGCAGCAAATCTGTGCACTTCAGAGTGCTGGGTAAGAGACGAGAATAATGCCATAAATACTCTTGATAATAAACATGTATTAATAATAGGAACAAGTCAAGGTTAATTCCACGCTGAAAAGAGAAGAAAAGAAACACAACTTTCCAGCTGGGGAGCCTTCCTCGAGTGCATATAAATAATATTCCTTATAATAAACACAAGGAGTGTGACAAAATTCTTTGAAGGGGTGAGGAAATCATACTCAATTTTTCATGATAAATATTAGATTTCTTTATATGCATTAGATTTGCAGATGAACTATCCTATTGACGCTATCCTGAGGACTGGATGACATCTGTCTCCAAACTGTCCAGTAGACTCACTGTCCAGATCTCAAGTGCCACCTTCACTAGTGCTGAAAAACACAGATCTCTGGAGACCACAGACAATATCAACTCAGCTCCAGACACACAATCTGATAGAGAACACTCCAAATTACTTCAATTTCATGTGTTCCTTCAATAATTTTTAATTTTAAGCATCAATGGTCTGCATCAAGCAATCAGAGCTACAAAACCCAAGCACTGAACTGTAGTTGTATGAAGATTGAAACAGAACACCAGCTCGACTCCAAGTGCTGCCACAGGCTCACAGCAGAATGTTCTGATATCCTCAGATCGGAGATTGGTCCTGCAGACAGCTCCACAGCCCCTGACTGAAGGACAGACGCTGACTCTACAGTGCAGAGTGCGGAATGAAAGCTCACAACAGATCGTGGGGTACATGTTTTACAAAGACAATGAAACCCTGAAACACACAGGAAACATAACGACCATTGGTCCAGTGAAGAAGAGGGATAAGGGGCTCTACAGGTGTAGGGTGACCTACACAGGGGGATCGGGGGACAAGTCTCAGCCAGTGCTGATCTCCATCAGAGGTGAGCCTGCGATGGACTGGCACTTCTGCCTTGCGTTCGTTGTTTGTTGGGTAGGCTCAGGCTTCCCGCAACACCGTATGGTAAAAAGCAGTTTGGCAAATGACATGACACAACTTTATCTCAGCACATTTTGTCGAGAATGTTTTCCCCCTGTGGTAGTAAAAGCCAATCCAGCTCATCACTCCAGCAGAGGGCGCTGTGGAGCACTGCTGACCCAGCCTGTGTCCTGTGTCCTGCTCCCAGACCTCTTCTCCCAGGTGACTCTGAGAGCCTCCCCAGGAGCCAGAGTGCAGGAGGGGGAGCCCCTGAACCTCACCTGCGAGGCCGAGCTGACGGGATACTACAGCTCCCCGCTGTCCTACTCCTTCTTCCGGGACGGGCAGCCTGTGGTCGAGGGGAGCAGCTCAGCTCTGTACTCCATGGCCAAAGTGAACCGGACGCTCACTGGGAGCTACAGCTGTGCAGTAGAGGCAGAGCACAGGATTCGGAAGAACAGCACCATCACAGCTGTCACGCTGGCAGGTCAGTGTGGGCATGGTGTCCTTGGTGCAGAGCCTCACACAGACGATCAGAGCAGGTCAATGTGGGCATGGAATCATTGATGTAGGGACTCACACGGATAATCAGAGAAAGTCAATGTGGGCATGATGTAATTGATGCAGGAAGTCACACAGATGATGAGAGCAAGTCAATGTGGTCTGTTGATTCCTTGGTGAAGGGCCTCACACAGATGATCAGATAAGTTTAGCGTGGGCCTGGAGTCCATGTTATAAGGACTCACATAGATGATCAGAGCTGGCCAATGTGGGCATGAAATCCATGGTGCAGGGACTCACACAGACGATCAGATCACGTCAATGTGGGCATGGAGTCCGTGGTGCAGGGTCATTATTTATTATTATCATCTGTTTACTTGCAGTGTCTTGGTGGGCAGTGGCCAGGTTAGCAGGCGGAGGATCACTGTGCCTGATCTCCCTCTGTGCCGTTCTGATGCTCCACTGCAGAGCACAGACCAAGGGTGAGACTGGATCCCTGCAGCCTGTCCAAAGCCTCAAGTCCATGACCGCCTGGTGACTTTTTGTTTGCACATCTGTTCCAGTAGTAATTCACCATCAATTAATTAATTAATTAATTAATTTTAATTCCTGGCCAGTGAGGTCAGATCTTCAACACACATTTCTAGATAGAGACAGAGTACCAGGGAGACTTGATTGCCTTCAGTGCCTTCTGAGAACAGGACTGTGAAAAGCCCTCTTGTTTTGTAGGTCATCACTGTCTCTCAGTCTTAGCTTTCCATCACTGCGGACATTGTACACAGCAGTGTCTTCAGTCTGTGTGTTTATAGAAACATATTATTTTGGAATTCTCTCTGGATATCATTAATTTTTCCAGGACACATTGGACAGAAAATTCACCGTATCCCCCTCCAGTCCCTTCCTAGGAGATTTCTTACATTTTTGTCAAGATCCTTACAATGTTTTGTCTCCTTTTTTGTTGGAACTGTTTTTTTCTGTTTTAGTACTGAAAAGCACTTTGAGATGCTACTTTTTAAGATGCTATATGTATTTAAGTATTAGTATTATAAACATAGATAAGGAAACCTTGCTTTAAATCTGAAACGAGTACTGTAAGATATGAGATTGTTCTGTCTCACCTAACTATGGTACAGATAAGGGAAACATCCAGAAGAATCTGTAATTTCAATAAAACATTATTTTATATTCAGCTTACTGTATTTTGTTGTTCAGACTGTTTTGTCCTTAGTTGGGGCTGCATCGGCACCCTGTGGTGATAGGGTGATGTGGGAATTGCTAAATAAATCTGGACAAAGGTAACAGATGTTTACACCAAGATTAAACCTATCCAACAAATTCCTTGATGGAATCAAGAAAAGGTCATTTTTCCCAATACTATTCAGACCTATATATTTTTTCCATGCATGATTCACCATTGTCGGTATCTATGAGCCAGTGCTCATCTTTAAGTCCAGAACAACGCAATCTGGGTTTTGACCTCTCTGAAAAGGACAAAGGTAAAGGTCTAACAGCTGTGTTCAGCCAGAAAACTTAAAAACCTGAAAAGTAAAAACAAACAACAACAGTTGAAAAAGGAAAATACAGACCTTTTAGGCAAAGCAAACTCTAAAAAGCGACAATGGAAAGGTCTTCATTTTCCTGTCTCTTGCAAATGTGACAAATTCCTAGAAAAGCTGCTTTTCCCCATAATGTAAGAGATTAAATAAATTCTGCATAAGGCCTGTCTGTATAAGGAACCCTTCAAACTGAGAGATTTTCAAAGCAAGGTTTAAATACAGAATTTTATTGGAAAAAAAGGACAACTGCAAAGGACAAGAACTGAACTGAACTGAAAAAAGACAAATCTGACTTTTTTCCCCCTCTGATATATTTTGGTGTTTTATATTATTTTTATAAGTTCTGCTTGGAATCGACACTTGCTAGTCAGCTGGGCTCACTGCTATAATCCCACCAAGACATCTTCCTCTTACTCAGCTCCCACTTGAGAACTTAGCAACCACCCCGCCTTGACCGCTGACAAGCCATTGTGGCGTCTGACAACTGCGCCCCCTCCTGGGGAACTCTGGTCACTGTCGGGTTACTGCATAACCCAAATCTGAGCTGGTGATCTCTGCACTGGGCACCCACTTTACCAAGTTTGTTTTTTTAATTCTCTCTATTGCTTTAGCTGAGACGGATCTCTCATAATTGTTAACGGTTTTATAATCAAGTGCTTCACATCATTTCAAAGCCCAACTAAGGACACTGCTGATGTACCCCGAGTGAGGTACTGTGCCTGTTGCTCCAGTCCACCTAGCTGCTGTATATGTGGGGCACCAGCTTTGATGGGGGAGTAATTCCTGTAATTGACCAGTGTCCTGTCCAAGGAGGGGGGAGGGGGGGGGTCACATGCACTCTAGTCTGGATTTAAGATCATGGACACCAGTATAAGCTCGGGGCCAATAACCCTCTTTGGCTCAGATATGGAAATTCTCTGCTTACTGCGCAGTGGACATGTATGCCACAGTGGACCGTGAATTTATTTACCATTTTAGCAAGGACTGGGTCCTTCTCCACAAGAATGATTTTGACCTTTCCCTAGATGTACAGCAACGATCAGCCTTCCTTGTGCTTGGCAAAAATTGATCTAAGCAAGATTATAAGGCAGTGATCTTCAACTGGCCCGGCACAGTCCCAGTTTTTAGAGTTGCATTGGTGCCTTGGACCAGTGACTAAGATATGCCAGTCTTGACTCACTGATTCAATTAAGCAACTAAGTCCTTGACTGAAAATAACCTTCAGTAGTCTATCATTTAAAAAATTATGGTTATCAGTGGAAATGTCTGTCGATAATGCAGTCTAGGTATGATGAAAAAAAAACGATTAAAAATATTACATGTACTTATAATATTAAACCAGCACAGTCAGATAAAGCAAGATTATGTGTTATGTTTACACATTATGTATATTGTGATGCCCATAATATCACTGAACAGATACAGCATAAAAATGTATACACTTAACACAATTACACTTTTAAAATCTAAACATTGGCACAACCCCATGTTATCAAAATGAATACACATTTACAGTCCCCAAGCTCACGGTTTGTAACTGCCTTCACTCGCAACAAGAAAATGCATTTTCTTAAAGGGTCTATATTTGCTCATTAGGTTGCTAGTGTCTTCTTTATTGGATGGTCTCCTCCAGCCCATTCCTGAGACATCGGACTCAACAGCACATCTGGGAGGATTTTTCCAGACTCCCCAAAACAAGCCTCCAGGCTCTTTGCACACACCCCCACTGTCCACATGCCAATTTGGCAGAGCAGTGGTTCTGTGGTAAAGGAGCTGCACCTGTGGCTGGAAGGTTGCCAGTTCAAATCCCACAGCTGGCAGAGGAATCCTACTCCATTGGGCCCCTGAGCAATGCCCTTAACCCCAACTACTCTAGGGGTGCTGTACAATGGCTGATCTTGTGCTCTGACCCCAGGCTCTCTCCCTATCTGTGTGTCTCATGGAGAGCAAGCTGGGGTATGTGAAAAGATGAATTCCTAATACAAGAAACTATACAGGGCTAATAAAGTGATGTTATGTTATTTACTGGGACAGTGACAAGTCCATCCATCCATTTTCTAACTGAGAACTACAATTCAGGGGAGCTGGAGCTGGAAAGCAGGGTACACCCTGGACAGCACACCCGTCCATCACAGAGCAGACACGGACACAAACCAGACACAGATGGACTCACACCAGGGGAAAATTGTACAAGATCCCCAAGCTACCAAAATGTCTGTGGGAGGCAACTGGAGCACCCAGAGGAAACCCACACAAACATGGCTTGAACATACAAGATCCACAAAGATAGCACCCCAGGTCCAGAATTAAACCCGGTGACTCTAGTGCTGCAAGGCAACAATGCAAACCGCTGCCACCTAGTGCCTTTTTGTGGCAACCCACTGAAGCTCAGCAGGTGTGAGCCTGGTCAGTACCTGGATGGGAGACTCCTGGGAAAAACTAAGGTTGCTGCTGGAAGAGGTGTTAGTGGGGCCAGCAGGGGGCGCTCACCCTGCAGTCCATGTGGGTCCTAATGCCCCAGTATGGTGACGGGGACACTATACCGTAAAAACAGGCGCCGTCCTTCGGATGAGACGGAAAACCGAGGTCCTGACTCTCTGTGGTCATTAAAAATTCCCAGGGCGTTTCTCGAAAAGAGTAGGGGTGTAATCCCGGTGTCCTGGCCAAATTTCCCATTGGCCCTTACCAATCATGGCCTCCTAATAATCCCCCTCTATGAATTGGCTTCATTACTCTGCTCTCCTCCCCACCGATATCTGATGTGTGGTGAGCGTTCTGGCGCACTATGGCTGCCGTTGCATCATCCAGGTGGGGCTGCACACTGGTGGTGGTGGAGGGGATCCCCATTACCTGTAAAGCGCTTTGAGTGGAGTGTCCAGAAAAGCACTATATAAGTGTAAGCAATTATTATTCTTATTTTTATGTCTTAAAAAAAAATTTTTTTTCTTAATTTGGTCTTCCTTGTCTTTTTCTATGCTGATCCACAGATTAGGGGAGCACTGGTAAACATCAGCTCATCTGCTGCTACAATCTGCAGCAGGGGTCGGCAAACTTTTTAGAGCCAGGGCCACTAAAAAAAAAAATGTACTGTACTAACCTTGCTGGGTCATCCGAGTGAAATCCTCTATCTAGCCGATAAACTCACTGACTGCAATAGGTGGCGTTTCTCTGGGCACATCTCCTCTGTGACCTGTGACCTCTTGCATACATGGCTTAATAAACCCACCGTCCGTGAAGGGTCTGACAGCTGCTGCTAGAAGCTGCGATACTCGATAACGAGCTCGGGTAGCCGCAACACTTTCTTCGGATTTTCTCTTGGACAGCTTTTGCTGCCCCTGAAGCGACTTTTTCAACTGCTCTAATTTTTTTCTTGCATTCAACTCCTGTGTATTCCGAAAAACCTAGCCTGATGTTTTTTCTCGCAATGCCCTTTTTATGGTGTAATCTTTCATCACGGCGATTGTATCCTGAGAGATAAGAGACATTGCCTTTTCTTTCCAAGGGACAGAAAAGTACTCTTCTGACTGTTGGTCATTGAATTTTCGACCCACTGCATCAATTTTTTTTTTTCCAACACGGCAGGAATAACTTACAGTTAGCCTCTTGTCGGTTATAACTTTTAGAACCATTTGAAATCTTTACCTGCTTTCAAACAAGGTCGCATACATTAGACGTCATTTGCGTGACTGAGCCAATCACAGTAGGCAACAAAAATCCAAATGAATTTACGGTAAGAATCAGTTGTAGCACAGGCATATGCAACCTAGGCTAAAGCTGACGTCTGATAGGCTCAAAGTAAAATGCATCGTCCAATAGGTGTTGTTCTGCAATTGACCGTGAGTGCTGAGAGAGAGCAGCAGAGCTAACAAGTAGAGACCACTGGTGGAAGATTTTCAACATCTGATGCAAAAAGTAACCCTTGAGATTTAAACAGTAGTGAGCTGCGGGCCACTCAGAAAAGTTCAGCGGGCCGGATTTGTCCCGCGGGCCGTAGTTTGCCGACCCCTGATCCACAGCATTATCTGAGCTTGAGGCTTATTAAGGATCCCTGTGAAACGTCGACTTGGTATCAAGCACTGTAAACATTCAGGGTCATTTCTTGGGGTTTTACCATGTTTCCTTGGATTTACCATGATTCCCATGGTTTGCATTGCACTTTACCATACATACATTTCTGTGCTTTATGACCTAGCTGTTAATTCACTATGCTTTACCGCATGTGACTCTTTTACATAGTAAAGCACAGGAAGATCCTACAATAGATTTAATTCAGAGTCCTTGGGTATTGTTTGCTGGACTTTCCGAAAGTGCTCGAAGGTTAGGTCAACCCTGACCACAAATAAACCCTGGTCGTCGCAATGAGACCCTCGTGAACGAGCGCACGAGGGTCTCGTGAAACCCTACACCTGCCCCTTCGGCATCACCTCCCGCTCGTGGATTTGCTGGTGCCGTTTCAGGGTCCCCGGCTGGCCGAAGCTCTTTTCGCACCCCGGGCACTTGAAGGGCCTCTCCCTCTTACATTGGCTCTTGAGCGTGACGGCGGGCGCGAAGCTCCTGCCGCAGGCGGGGCGGGGGAAGGGCCGCCCCCCCCGATGGACGCGCCGGTGGTCCTGCTGGCTGAAGCTCTTCCCGCACTGGGGGCAGCGCCGGTGGGCCGCGAGGCTCTGCGGCTGGCCGAGCCCCTTCCCGCGCCGCCGGCGGCCGTATGGCTTCTCCTCGGCGTGGACATGCCGGTGCTTCCCGAGGCTCCCGCAGAGCCGGAACCTCTGCCCACACTGCCCGCAGCCGTAGGGCGTCGCCCCCGTGTGGGTCCGCCCGTTCGCCCGGAGCTCGGCCTGGTAGAGGAGGCCCTTCCTGCACTCCGGGAGGCGGTGGGGCCGCTCCTCTCTGGGGGCGCTCCGAGTGCGCGATCCGCCGGAGGCGGCTCCCGCCCGTGTGGATCCGCCGGCGCACCTTCAGGCTGCACACCCTGCGGGACCGCTTCCCCGCTGCGGGGGACGGCCCGCTCCGATCCCGTTGCGCGGGCGACCTTGTAGCCGTCCCCCAGGACGTAGCCCGCGCGGATCGCATCCCGCGGCCAGGAGTCGTCGATCCGGGTGAGCCTCACGAGGGGAAAGGGGAGGTGGGGTCGGCTGGCGGAAGATAGGGGTGGCGGCACCACGGCTGGCCGATCGCCGACTCGCTTAGGGGATCCTCCCTGTTTGCTGGCGTACGTCTCTGCAGAGGGAAGAGAGGAGGCGGCTCGCCCTTCTGCATCTACGATGGGGGAAAGGAAATGAAACGGTTACGATGGTCTTTGAAATCTGGCCATTGCTACCACCCTGCAAGAAATGCCTAAGCATGGATTAGAATAGCCAGCTGGGAGGGCTGATTGATATTTATTAAGTGTAAGAGTTATTAAAATTCTTCAGTTCTGATTCTTGTGCTATCGCTGAAATCTAGCTGGGACATCCATAAATCTTCATCTTTTTCCAGTTAAAGCTAAAGTCCCCAACCAACTCCCAACAACCCCCAACCCCGCAAATGCTGTTTCCATGTGTAACCAGCAACAAAATGACAAAGACTTCATATCTCAAGTGCTGAAGCGATCCAACGAATAATATTCATTTATATTTGAAACTCAAAATATTAGAGGTGGAAAAGTACATGCCGTTTTGTGCATAGAAGACATGGAGAAACGAAATGGAGATTTTTCATACCCTAGGCTTCAAACGTACAGTTTACACGAACTATAGATGGATGGGTATGATCATCAGATCCCTAAATTACAGAATTTAAAGTGAACCCCACAAGATTCAGTGCGCAGCCTCCTCTCCTTGCCAGCCTTCCTCCTGACAGTGATAATTAAATACCGCCTTGTCTCCAGCTACAACAGGAAGACCAGCTGTTACAGCAAAGCGAAAGCTTACGTGCTGCTGCACTTCCTTCCTCGGGGACATATTCCGGGATGCCCTCCTCCTCTTTCGGCTCCTCTTTCCCGTGGACTTTCAACCGGTCTCCGAAACAGGCGCCGTCATTCCCCGAAGCCTCCTCTTCACACTGGTCCATCTCCCAGTGAGGGTGTGACGAGCTGGGCTCCTCCTTCACCGCCAACATCTCTAGCACAGAATGGTCCCCCTATATCAGAGGGGGTCATACATCTCCAGCTCCCTTTCCTGGATAGAGAAGAAAAGGCTTTCATTAATAATCGTGCGGATTACTTGCATTTATAAGGCTTTTCATCCAAAACTGCTTCACAGACTTGGAGGGTCCCAGTTCAATCACTTGATTCCACGTCAGTCATGCCTGACACTTATGAACCCTACTCCACAGATATATATATATAAGGGACCGCAGGAAGGATGAAGAATTTTAAGGCATGATGTTGAAATGCTGTTTTTCAACACTAGACCCAGGGTGGTACAATGGGTAGCATTGCTGGGGCCCCAAGCTCAATTCCTGAGGTGATCTCTGTGTGGAGTTTGTGTGTTCTCCCTGTGTTCATAAGGGTTTCCTTCGGGTTCTCCAGCTTCCTACCACAGGCCCAAAATACACTGCCGGTAGGTTTATTGGCTTCTGGGAAGAGTGGCCCTGGTGTCAGTGTGTGTCTGTGTGTGCCCTGCTCCCACCCAGGGTGCACCCTGCCTTGTGTCTCTTGCCCGCCAGGATCCAGCTACTCCTGTACTGGATAATGATGCTATAGAATGGATGGAACATTTGAACAATTATTTTAAAAAACCTAACCAGGCTACAGTGTGTGGTGATAAGATTCATGTTTTTAAATGCTTCAGGAACAATGCTCAGCTATCTTACTGGTGACCACCACATCACGGTAATTCCGAAAAACCCACATTATTATCCATCAACGGAATACTTGTACTCTATAACACCTTTCAATATAGTGCATTCTTATGGCACTTTACATAAATTGTACAACAGAAACAGATCAAATACAAAATAAAAATCCCACAAAATAATCCAACCCAATTTACTCCAAAAAGAGAAAGCATAAATTATTGAAGGCATCCATAGTCAGAACCCGCCGTGCACGTTTAAGGTATTTGTTCACAAAATGAAAAAAAAAAACTACACATAAAAACATGCAAAGGTGCATTAAAACTCGCACCAGTTTAGATGATCCTGAACGCCACAGACCAAACCTCCCTGCGGGGTCCGGCAGAAATTTGAGCTCGGGGCTTTCCTGGTATGGGTAGGCCGCACAGAGCGAAATAATCCCGTAAATCCCTACCTTTCTATTAATCATCACTCTTTTCAGAAGCCGCAGTCAGAGGACACGGGCAGCGGTTCAGCGTGCTGTTCAAGCCCGTTTGCCAAGCACACTGTTCGCAGCGTCAGAGCCATTAACGGTGCTGACGAAGGCTGCCATTGCACAGAATAATCCTCCGTCAACTCCACAGGTGTATCTGGAGTGAACGGACTAGGAAACCGCGCTGAGCGCATCATCTAGCGACGCAACCTCGTACTGCAAGAGTACAGAAATTAATGTTGCTGCATATTATCACCCGTTACGCTGCGTAAGGCAGTGAAGGGTACCGCCGACTGACGCGTTTCTCTGCGAAAAAGCCCCCCTCAGACGCACCAATTCGCTCTGCTAATGAGGTATCTGAATTGGCTTCCCTCACATCTTCCTTTTCTCCTAATTGCAGAGGCAGAGCTGAAGAAATGTGGTCGATAAAACTTTCCGCTGAAAATATCTCGTTAGAATTGTACACAACGCCATTTCCCGACCGGGAGCTGTTCTTTCAGCACCTGCTATCACGAACAGTACTGTACCATTACTGTAAAACCACGGCCCATGGAAAACTCGGGTTATAACGTGTGAACCAGCGAAGTCAAAATGTACAGTATTGCCGAGTTAAGGATAAGATTAAAAAAAAACAAGCATATGAATTATATATTGAAAATAAAATTACTTGTGATCTATTTAGAAGCAGTGAATCGTGAACGTGGAAAAGCCAGAAAGTTTTGCAGGTATTTAATCGAAAACAGCTCAGCAGCACGCTGTCATCTGTCAGGAAATTCACTAGGGAGAGGTTATGCCTGTGCAAAATTCTCCCGGACCTCCAGATTACAAGCAGAGCATTTTGTTATATCTGTACTTTACGATTGTCCACCGAGAGCTTCGCATTACTGTAGATTTTTAGATAAATACTATATTTACATTTGAAAGAACGACTAAGCGAGTTAAGATGTCAGTTCAGTAACAGAAGAATCACACATATCATGCATCTATTCCCAGATTTCTTCCATTATCGTTTGGATCGAAGAGATCGATTGATACCGAATAGTCATATAGCTCTCCAAATGTGTGTTGTCACTTTAACAGCCTCATTTGTTTCGGGACATTATTGTAACATCGCGGAAATCCAGAGACTGAGTCGGACACGTTTCGCAGACATCCGTTCTTTATTGTGCAGTTCTTAGGACTAACAGAGAATGGCAAAAACGCGCTGAGGCACCTACAGTAACTGCCGTAACGCAGTAACCCCGAAACATAAGCGTAATAGCGTCGTAAACACACGCTGCGTGCTACATAAAAATTCCTAGGCCACACATCCAAATTTCCCGGGTGGAGGCCAAGGGTCACACGTGTGATATTTTACGACTATCGTCTGCCTTCCCCCAGCTCTGTTACTTAATTGCCTTAATTGTTTGACTAATCGGATAATTATAATTCGTCTCCCCGTGCCAATAAGTAACCACACACAGAAAAGCATTATACCCCGAATTGGTTGCCTGTATCATCACCTCTGAGGAAAATACAAGGAAAAAATCATTATCTAGATTTTATTTTTTAAAGAATGAGATAAGTGAGGATTCAGGCTTGGTCGAAAACGAAAGAAAACCCCGAGACTTTGCCTCGAAGGCATTACTAATTAGGATGAGTCGATGTCCTTCCTCCATCGTTCATCGCTCACGGACCACAGCCGATTAGACATTTAAGCGTTAATTACAAGCGTGTTGTTTAAATGAGAACAGGTTTTGTGAATGAGAGAATGCGCTAATGAGGTCGTAAATAAATACGGCCTCTCTCCGCGTCTGTTTAATATTTCAGTGAGGCTGGGGGCTTCGTTCTTCCTCTATTCTTTAAAGGAATCGTGCTTGCAAACAAAACACATGGCCCTTTCTAAATCGGAGAAGCCCTTTGTGGACGAGTTGAGATGCGCGATCTGCCTGCAGTTTTATTGCGAGCCCAGCTCGCTGCCCTGCGGTCACAGTTTCTGCCTGGCGTGTATCGCCGAGGTCATCCGGAGGGAGGATGAGGCCGGCTGGCCCCACACCTGCCCGGAGTGCCGGGGCGAGCACGTTGGGAGCTCGGCTCTGCAGAAGAACTTCAAGCTGGCCAACATCGTGGAGGGGTTTAAAGCGAGCGACGGCACCTCCCCGACGAAAGCCACCTGCGACGTGTGCTTGGACAGCCCCAAGGCGGCGGCGAAGGTGTGCCTGAAGTGCGAGATCGCTATGTGCTCCGACCACCTCAGGCCCCACTTCAAGCCGGCGTTCCGGGGCCACGTCTTGGTGGACCCCGCCCCCGACCTGGGCGGTAGGAGGTGCTCGCTGCACGCCAAGCCGGTCGAGTACTTCTGCCTAACCGACAAGACCTGCGTCTGCGTCGTGTGCGCCATCGAGGGCGCGCACAAGAAGCACGAGGTGAAAAACTTCCGGAAGGCACGGGCGGAGCTGGGCACGACCCTGGACCTGCGGCTGAAGGAGGTGGACGGCAAGCTGACCGTCTGCCAGACGCTCCTGCAGAGGGGAAAGGAGGCGGAGAGCGCCGTGAAGGCCTCCAACGGAAAAATGGCGCGGCAAACGGCGAGCCTTCTGGACGGGATCGTGAAAGAGGCCAAGACCTACAAGTCCAAGGTGATGGAGGTGGTCGAGGACGAACAGCGGCGCGTGGAGGACGAGTTCCGGGGGAGAGTGGCCAAGCTCTCGCTCCGACAGGCGCTGCTGAAGGACACGCGGCGTCAGATGCAGGAGACGCTGCTGCTGGCTGACCCGTTCCTGTTCTTTCAGAAGCTCCGGGCGGTGGAGGCCAAACTGGCCGCCGCCGAGGGGCCCGAATTCGCCCTTCCGAAATCGATCGACCTCAGGTGCTTGAAGATCCCGTCCGATGTGGAAAGCTCCACTTCCGCCTTCCGGGCTTCCTGGACAAAACTGCAGAAGTCCTTGACTGCGCTGATCGGAGAGGCGGCGCCTTCTCTGGCTAACGCGTGTGCACCCGGGGACCACCTGCGCCTCTCCAGCTCCTCCAGCACCTTAAACTCTCTCTTCCCTCCACGACAGTCCTTGTCCTATCGGGTAAAACCGACGTCGGCGGCGTTGAAGAAGAAAGATGCCAGCTGATCGCTTCCTCTTTTCTAAGCTCTGCAACCTCAACCTCTTCCCCGCTTCTCTGAGCTGGGAGGCCTGCGATTTCACTTTTTTTTTTTTTAAATGACAGGATTTACAGGCTAGCGTCTGTACAGGCTGACCGGTGTGGGGGGAGGGGAAACCAGTATTAGTGTAATGTCGTCTTTTTTTTGTGTGGGTCTGTCGTATGGTGAGGAGGTCGGGAAACCGTTCTGTGCATCGGAAGGTTATTGAATAAAAGTAGGTTGTCTTCTTGAACAGCCGCATCTCCGGGTTTCATAGAACATCTGTCCTGTCTTGATCGAAACTGTCTATTTTTGTATGTGAATAAGTTTTTTAAAACTGAATAAAATATTCTTGCTTCATCCTTTTCGCGGATCTGCCTAGGAAGTCTGTTCGCAGCCTCCTCTTCTGCGTCCTTTTAAACCAACCCAGCTCCGCCTTCCGTTCTTAAATATTAACAAACATTCAAGTAAACTGGAGTTTATTTTCCTCCCGTTCTTACTTCCAGAAACAATTGCGAAAATACCGCAAACTGTGTATTCGCGTAAGTCAAATTATTGGTCCGTCAACCTGCGTACAGGGACCAACGGATGTTCAACTTTGTAAACGCATCTCCTAGTTGCTTAGTGCTTCTCTGCAGACAAGTGTAGCCACTCCATTCACAGACCACAGCACAGCAGTGGAAGCGTGGACAACAGGCACCTCTTTACACAAGGGGCTGTGGATCACTTTATCTGGCCGGGTAATTAACGCTGCCACCCTGATCTGTTCCAGTAAGCGGCTGTAGGAGACGCAGTGGATCAGTTACCCATCCAAAAAGGCTGGCTGGTAACGTTTTAGCGCGTCCGGACCCTGTCCATTGCAATTTCCAAAATGAAAATCCGGCATCTGCCCTTGCTTTTATAATCACTTCTATCGCTGTCCCATCGTTTAGGCTGTAATTCTTAGTGTTTCTTTGTACTTTCATCCCAGATCGTAAATTTGCCTTGCAGTCTGGTTAAAAAAGACCCAACAATGCACTTAACACAAGACGAACCCATGATCACATGAACGACAAACAGGAATGGTAAAGTAAAAGTTAAAACCGGTCCCAGTAGGGTTGATTATGATTAAAGAGGAAGGCAAGAGCCCTGAAACGGACAATAATTGCTTACACTTACATAGCGCTGTTCTGGATACTCCACTCAAAGCGCTTTACAGGTAATGGGGACTCCCCTAAATTAATCGATCAATTTATCAAATGCACAACAATACAGCATGCAGCAGTAGCTGCTGGCAATGAAATGTCTTTTCTGTGAGCTCACGGGGGGTAAATATCACAAAATTAAAGTGACAAAATAAGGTTAGAGACTAATACATAATGTAATAGACAACTAATAAAATAAACTCAGACAAAACTCGATATGAATAGAGCTGCTCTGTGTCCATGGTGTATGCATTATATTATGTCCAAGTAGTGCAGTGTGCACAGTACAGTGAAAACTGTGTCCATGTAGCCATTACAGGTGATTTGCTGAAGAAGCTGCAGGTTAGCTATTTAGCAGTCTTATTGCCTGGAGGTAGAAGCTGTTCCGTAGTCTGTTGGACTTTGACCGAATGCTTCGGTACCGTTTACCGGACGGTAGGAGAGAAAACAGTTTGTGACTGGGATCCTTGAGAATGCACCTGGTCGTCTCCACCACCACCACCGGTGTGCAGCCCCACCTAGATGATGCGACAGCAGGCATAGTGCGCCAGAACGCTCACCACACATCAGCTAACAGTGGGGAGTAAAATCACTAAAGTCAATTCATAGAAGGGGATTATTAGAAAGCCAGGATTGGTAAGGGCCAATGTGAAATTTGGCCAGGACACCAGCGTAACACCCCTGCTCTTTTCGAGAAAACACCGAGGGTCAGGACCTCGGTTTTACGTCTCATCCGAAGGACTACGGCGCCTTTTTACAATGTAGTGTCCCCGTTACTATACTATAGTAAGCCATACTGGGGCATTAGGACCCACACAGACCGCAGGGTGAGCGCCCCCTGCTAGCCCCACTAACACCTCTTCCATCAGCAACCTTAGTTTTTCCCAGCAGGTCTCCCATTCACGTTGTCAGTCGGGAGTTGTAAGGTGATATGGCTGACTCCGCTGTTGAAATAGGCGATGTCAGGCGATACATTCTAAACCTATAGCGTTACGACTCTCTGGGATCATCAGGGCTGCAGATGTGATCTCAGTGATGTGGGGTTAGTTGGCAGGAAGGTTGCGTCCGCTCACGGCCACGGGCCAGGCGTACGAGCGCAGACAAACGCCGCCGCACTACGGAAGTGCGAGTGTGCGCTGGAAGAGGGAGGTGTCACATGGCGAGGGCGAGCGCGGGCCTCGTCATATGACGCCGGGTGCGCAGCGCAGTAGCTCAGGCTCCCTTCCCTGCCTATTCTCACCCGGTATGGCGGACGGCGAGCGCTCCCCGCTCCTCTCCGATCTGAGCGATGGAGGTCTCAGCGCCGGCGGGGGCCTCCCCGGAGGCGGGCTGCCCTCCGCCCCGCCGTATGGCCTCCCGAACAAGCCGCAGAGTGAGTACGAGCGATGCGCCGAAGCCTGCCTGCCTTCCTTGCCTGCCCTGTAGCATAGTGGGTGACCGCCGGTGGGGCTCCAGTATAAACACTCCCCCGCTGTGGCAAAATGAAGGAAATAAGACCGAAGGAAAAACATGCTTGCGCATCTCATAGGCGTCCAGTTACAGTAGCATAATGGCTCGCTAACCTCTGCACTGATGGCCACTTTGTGAGGCGATAAAGGAGGGATTTATTTCTTTAAAGACCGTGCGTGAATAAGTGTCCTCCGTCCAAGCGATGCATTGTTAATGGTATGAATCTGGGAATCTCCTAGCCTGTAATTCTCTTCAGCTTTTCCGGTACGGTTTAGAGGCCGACCATGCATTTCACTGTGCGTTTCAACCACCCCCAACAAGTGATCGTCATTTTCCTCCAAAAAATACGGATTTCTGCGTTTCTGTGCGTAGTCGATAGCACTCGGACGTCTCTTGTGAAACTCGTCCTCCTCCTCCTCCCCTACACACGCGTACCCCGTTCGCACGCTGGGTATATTGTGAATGTCTGTCACTCTTTTAGTTGGGGCTGATTCGACGGAGTGGAGAAATATCGATTGTCTCACGCGTGTTTTAATGCGGAGTGAACGCAGCAGCCATGTCCACCTGAAACTGCTGACCTGCTATATGCGCTCCGGGCAGCTGGTGTTTCAGGAGACGAGCTGTGTGGGTTTTCGCGCGTGTTCGTGAAAACTGGACAAGTTTCAGGGCGTGAAAACAGGACTCCCCCCTTTTGCGAAACGGGGGCTGAAGAGGGGCTTACTTGGTTTGACTGCTTTAAGAAAGAAGGCTACGAAAAGGGCGCTTCTCTTCGAAATCGCGGTCACAGAATGAAAGGATTGCATTTATGACTTGGTCTTTTGCTAGATCATTTCATTTTAATAGCTGCCGGCGCCTCCCTCTATTAGAAGATGTTTTCATTGTTTGTGTTTCTTTTTTTTTGGTCAATGAATTGATGATGCTCCGCAATGTTTACGCTGCTTTTGCAATTGCAGCCGAGCACCTGATTTGATTGACGGGCGTTTCGAGCCACCCCGAGGCTCTTTCTGCCGGTTCCACCACACAGCAGCCAACCACGTTTTGGCAAAGGCGGAGCTAAGCTCTTTTGCCCGCCTCGCCGACAGCTCGGGAGAGTGTTTGCAAGGGCTTGTGGGAAATGTAGTTTAGTGTTTGTTTGCCCCACACAACAGCCTCTTGAAAGCGTGTTTGCACTCACACGAGAGTTAATTTTAGCGTTTCCTTGTCTGTGCGTAATTGCGTGGTTTTCTCCCAGCGTATAATGAAGGAAGCTACTCCTCTCGATCTCCTAAGTAGCTTGTGCAATTGTGTTATGTATTCATTTAGTCCTGACTATCTGTACAAAATCTTTCATGTTAAGTGTTTGGCAAAAATTATTATTATTATTATTATTATTATTATTATTATTATTCCAGCAAACATGTATTCACAAGTGAGCCTTTCTGGAAAGATGACTGGTAATGCAGGGATAATAGAATTATTCATATTCTTTTATTTAGGGAAAGGCAGGTAAAACTTTCTGAAGTGTTTATCAATTGCAAGAGAAAACGTTTCAACTTTACTATTAATTTAATTTAAATGGTAAAACGTCTTTAAAAATGTTAAAGGAAAAATAATTGGCCCATCTTTTTTTTACACAAGGGTAGTGGTTGGGACAGTGATGGCTTAGTGCTGTAGAGTACTGGGTGGGATGTTGGACTTGTAGCTGAAAGGTTATGGGTTCAAATTCTGGATGAGAAGCTGCTGCTGTTCCCTTTAAACTTCTCAGCTGTTAGAAATGGGTCACTTTTTATTTCAAATTAATAATATTTATAAAGGTGGGAGGCAAGGTGGTTCAGTGATTAATATGACTGCCTCACAGTGCTGGGGCCCTGGGTTCAATTCCAGACCCCGGGGTGCTGTTTGTGTGGAGTTTGCATGTTCCCCCCCTGAGTTTTTGTGGGTTTCCTCTAGATGCTCCAGTTACCTCCCGCAGACGTGCTGGGAGGTTAATTGGCTTCTGGGAAAACTGGTGCAAGTGTCTGTGGCATCCTGTCTGGGGTGTATCCTGCCTTCTGCCCATTGCTTGCTGGGATAATAATTAATAATAATTGCTTACACTTATATAGCGCTTTTCTGGACACTCCACTCAAAGCGCTTCACAGGTAATGGGGATCCCCTCCACCACCACCAGTGTGCAGCCCCACCTGGATGATAGGATAGACTCTGGCTCCCCCACGCCCCTGAATGGGATGAAGTGGTTAGAAAATGGATGGTTTGGTTTCTAAAGGTCCCGGTTGTGCTCTTAATGATCGTTTTGTTTTTCAAGAGTGGAATCTCTCGGTGAAGAAGTTGTGAGTAGCAGGCAGTCTTACTGCAGGGATGGATGGCCATGAGTCGTGATCGAAGGGGCCGGATTTCACTTCCTCTCGGAGGAAGATGGCCGGTTCCAGGGCGAACAAACTTTGCGAAGAATTCAGAAGTTAGCGTGAAAGCACAAGGAAGCCTCCGGAAGCTATTTTTAGGAACTCGTGCCAGGAAATAGTGTGTTTTGTCATGCAGGGGATGTTAAGTTCTTGGGGGCGGTCTGGGGTGTTGCTCCAGAGTATCTTATGAATCGGGAGCTGTGAAGATGCTGTATCCGGGGAACCTGATGATCAAGAATAGGCTGTAGGAGCTGCTGTCATTCTAGAATGTTCTTGTTGTTCTAGAACTGAAAACATCGAGCCGCAGCAAAGCCCAGGTCGTCTGCTTTGCCCGTCCTTTTTGTTTTAATTGCATAGTCGGCCAGATGTTATTCGTCTTGTTTCGGGATTGCCTTCCTTTTTTTTTGGGTTGGATTCTAACGTTCAGGTTTGATCGGCTGTGAACGTGGTTGCCGTGTTGTGAATCGGCCCCGTTTCGGAACCCGAATCCTCGCCGGTCTCCGGCCGGTCTGCCAGCGGCCCACGTGATGTATAGCGTTCACCCGAACCAAGAAGTTTTTCTGCTGCTCCCTGGATTTCTCTTTCTGGGCTCTAGACAGAAGGGCGGTCCAGTCCTTTTCCTGGGAACCTGTGTCCTGTGGAATTTGTACATCCCTAAGACCTCACACAAACACACCTGCATGTCCTCCTTCCCGCCGAGTTCTTATCCGGAACAAATCTTCCGCTGATCCTGTGAACAACCTGCTAACCAGAACGTTAATGTTGCAGGCAGGTCCTGTAGCTCTGACGCATTACAAAGGGACATTGACTTCTTTTCATGATCAGGATCGCCTTCCGGGTTTTTCTTGATGGGATGTATTCCAGCACAAGTTCAATGCTGTGGCAATGTGTTAGTTGTGCGCTCAAGGCTTTAAAAAAAAAAAAAAAACTTACAGATGGCTCGTACTGTACTGTGATGCCAGTCAGGAAATGAGCGACACAATGAGAGCTTTCTCTTTCTCCCAGTGCTGACGGTCTGGTGTGTAAATTGTACTTAGACCGCCCCCAGGGCAGGATCAAGCGTAAATCCTGACATCTTAACTGCCTGAACAAAACTGTACAACAATTTTCCAGTGTTAGAGTTTGTAACGCCTTTAATAAGCGATTTCCAAGCGTTGGTCACGGTGAGGATTACGGTCTGCACTCAGTGGGTGGAATTGTGACTTTTGATTCTGGTTCTGGAGGTTCTGTGTCCCTTGGGTTTTGTTCCAATTGGGCCCTTCATCACCACTGCTAACTGGTCCCAGTAACTGATCTGCTTCCTGGTTTCTGGACTCAGGCCTTTATTTCAACAATACCCCGGTACAGTAGTTATTTTTTTCTTGTCCTACATAGTAGTAGTAGTAATAATTTCTTACACTTATATAGCACTTTTCTAGACAGTCCACTCAAAGCGCCTTACAGGTAATGGGTATTCCCCCCCACCACCATCAGTGTGCAGCCCCACCTGGATGATGCTCCAGTACCACACACCCGTCCCATCCCAAGACCTTGTCTCTCTCACCTGTTTGTCCATCATCAGATGTTCACCTGTCTAGATCTGTTTATCCAGAAAAAAAAGGAGCAAATTCATCATTTGCAAACTGACCAGAGAGCTAACCTCTGTGTTCCGACATTCCTGGAAATAATGTGCTGTAACGGGGGAATTATTATCGCAAAAAGCAGACTGGTTACCAGCAGAAGTTAACATTGGTGATTGAGGGTCCAGCTGAAACAAAACCCCTCGGAAACTGGGATTCCTCCAGCACCAGGACCGAGAGTCGCTGCTGGTTCTCTTGAAAGGGGGTTTCCTTTTCGTTTCGGTTTTTATCTGTCAGCACTTCTGCCGAATAACAAACAGCTGACTTCTCCCATGTCAAAGTTTTTGTTTGTAGCTCCAAAAGCCCACGGTTTGCATTTTGGCCTAGCGTTTCGCAACTTGAAGGATCGTGATGGCAGAAAAATGCTTACTGGAGGGCTTCGACGCACAGTCTGCTCCCAGCCCCCACTAAGAGGGAAAAGGAGCTGTACTGTTTTACTGCCCGATTCAACAGACGCAGCCTGTTTGTCATCTGAAGTCCGTTAATCGTAGCGTTTTGAAGATGCTGACTTGTTTTTAAGCATCAGACTTTTTTTTTTTTGAGGGGGTTGTTACCAAGGGAGGGAGGGAGGGGGAATTGTAAGTTCTCCCAAACCTGTTAAGAAAGAGAGGTGAAAGTAAATCCCCTTTAAATTGGAATTAGCGGGTGTTAGAGCCCTTGCCACAGCCTGTGATCTCGAGAGCGGGAGGCCCTTCCTTTCGCAAAGAGGAGCGGGAGTCTGCAGCAGGGCCGCCCAGACATGTCGCAGAAGCTGGCTCGCTTAAACAAAGAGATCCCCCCCGCGTTCACGACCCAGCAGGGACCAGCCGAGTTTGACATTCCGGCTAGCCTCCCGGGCCTTGGCAGTCGATCTTGTGTTGCAGGGCAATGCCAGGGACTGGGCTGCAGATGGTGCATGTGGTCAGCTGGTGCTTTTCGGTCTGCTGGACAGCAGGAGGTAGCGGCCAAGCAGATAATGGCCTCCGAGAGGGGACAGAATGAGCAGAATGGACCTGCGCCCGCAGAGCGCACGGGGAGGAGAGACTTGCATGACCTGTGAAACTCCTCAGGACGCAAACGCGCAAAAACAAAAAAGTCTACCGTGTTTAATAAGGTAAATCTGCGCTACCTAGCAACCCCAGAGCATTCCTGAAATGCCTCCTTTCAGCAAAGGGAAAAAACAAGCTTTAGTCGCTAATTATTTTTAATAAAGCAGGGAACTGGGGAACTGCAGTAGCAAAGGAGATCTTGCTGTGAGAGGAAGGGTAAAAAAAGTAAGAGAAGGTGTGGAAAAACGACCTTTGAATGGCAAATATCTCCCTTTCTTGTTTAGCTCTCTTGCAATGGAGGGGGAGGGGAGGGGGGTAGCCTTGTGATGAGTGTCACAAGGGTTTATTCATACAAGCTTCATAAACACTCCACAACATGCAGACAGTTTTGAAGAGCTGTGATTTAAGGAAGCTGAATTAAAGGTTAATGACTTGAGTCTTTACAATTCCTTGATTTGTACTTGATTCCTCCCCTCAATGTTTCTGTATGATTCCTTTTTTAAAGATCAACGCGGTTGGCATGGTTTGACCTCAGGGGGCACAAAAGCCCTGTGCAGGCCTAAGACAGGGGAGCCCATTCTGTCTCCCAAGGGTAATTTGTCACTCGAATTTACTGGCCTCTTTAAATGCCCAGCTTCTCAAGAACAAGGACAGGCTTCCACATCTCCAGTTAAGCATTGGAGTCATTTAATTAGATACTTAGGAGCTCAGGTGCAAGGGAACAAGAATTAATAATAATCACATTACTTTATTAACCCTTTACAATTTCTGGCATTAGGAATTATCTTTTCGCATATCCCAGCTTGCTCTCCATGAGACACACAGATAGGGAGAGAGCCTGGGGTCAGAGCGCAGGGTCTGCCATTGTACAGCACCCCTGGAGCAGTTGGGGTTAAGGGCCTTGCTCAGGAGCCCAACGGAGTAGGATTCCTCTGCCGGCTGAATAATCAAATCAACTTAAGCATCTGTTACAAACAGAGGGTGACTAAGAAAGCCAAAAGCATCAGGGAATATGTGTGTCTCACCCCCTCCTTTGCGAATTCACACTTCTCCCTTCTGGGAGACACCTCTGTGCCCCCCAGGTGTAAAACCAACAGACTCAGGAAATCTTTTATTCCCACTGCAAGTACACTCTTAAACAATGCAAAGTATCTACCTTGTCTCTTCTCTCTTGTTTTTCATCTCCTGTAATACTACTGTATTCTCTTCCCTTTTGTTGATGTCTTTGTCATTGTGTTGTGTTTGACTGTGCCATAAAACAAATTTCCCCCATGGGACAATAAAGCTTGACTTGAATTGAAATTGTGCCCTTCTTCAATCTGATTTTAGGGGTTCCTGGTCCTGGATCCCCACACACACTTCTGGGTTTTGTTCCAGCTCAGCTCCGTCACAAAGCTGAACCCTTCATTGACTCAATAACAGGCTTAGTCGGTCAGGTTGATGGTTTTCAGCTCTTTAACATGTTGGAGGTCGGCTTTTAACGATTGCCTTTCTTGCATAAAATTGCAAAACTTTAAAAACTTTAGTGTGGAGGGGGGGACACTTGCTAATATTGCAGTCGATATACTTGTCTTCAGTTAAGGCTTTATTTGGGGAATTGGGTAAACGAGGCTGGAAAGAGCACCAGCATTGAGAACCCCTGATCTCATGATCACTTGTAAGGCTCTGCATGGGTTACAGTCTTCCTACTCCCCACCTCGCAACCTTCTCTCCTCTAACTGGGGTCTCCTGTCTGTTTCCCAAGCTAGTTTACATTCTGTAGGAGACGAGTCCTTCTCCTTCTATGCCTCAAAGCTCTGGAATCCTGTCCCCGAGGATATCGGAGAGTCACCTTCCCCGAGCAGCTTCAAATCCAAACTCATTACCTTCTCCTGCGGAAAGGCTTTCATGTCTGTGTCTGCTCCTTGCACCTTCTTCTGCTTTTCTAATCTTTTGTGTTTCTTTGTATTAATTTCATCACCTGTCTTGATGGTTTTATTTTTTTTTTTTCCTGTAAAGTGCTTTAAGAAGATGATTTTATGTAGCACCATTTAAATTTTATTATTAAACTTTTATCTAGGAGATTTGCTAAGCTAGAGGTCACCTCTGCTTGGCATCATGAATAGTGGGCTTAAGATTTACAGACCCTCTCTGTTGCAGTTCTTGCCGTTAGCTGGAAATTTTCTTGTTGGTCTCCTCTCTAACCTGCAACTGGGGCAGAGTGGTGGCTCAGTGGCTAAGGATCTGCGCCTGTGGCTGAAATGTTGCCGGTTCGTATCTTGCGGCCAGCAGAGGAATCCTACTCCATTGGGCCCCTGAGCAAGGCCCTTAACCCCAACTGCTGCAGGGATGCCGTATAAATGGCTGAGCCTGCGCTCTGACCCCAAGCTTCTCTCCCTGTGTGTGTCTCATGGGGTACATGAAAGGAAAAATTCCTAATTAAATTTCCTAATTCCTAATAAAAAATTGCATATGGCCAATAAAGTGATCTTGAAATCTCATGGCATTGATGTTGCACCTCTGTACAGCCTTCTTGTAAAATAAGATTCCTCATGCGCTTGAAAGATTTGATTCCTTCCGCTTATGTAGTGCTTTTTTTGGATACTTCACTCATTGCTTTTTACCGGTAATGAGGACTCCCCTCCACCACCATCTGGAATGAAGCGACTGCAGCCAAATTGTGCAGTACACTCTCCATACACCAGCTATCAGTGGGGAGGAGAGCAGAGTGATGAAGCCAGTTCAGAGATGGGGATTATAATGAGGCCGTGGTTGGTAAAGGCCAGGGGGAAATTTGGCCAGGACACCAGGGTAACACCTCTACTCTTTTCGAGAAATGCCCTGGGATTTTTAATGATGGCAGGCAGTCAGGACCTCGGTTTTATGTCTCTTCCGAAGGACGGCGCCTTTTTTACAGTATAGCGTCCCTGTCAGTATACTGGGGCATTAGGACCCACACAGACCGCAGGGTGAGCGCCCCCTACTGGCCCCACTGACACCTCTTCCAGTAGCAACCTGAGCTTTCCCAGGAGGTCTTCCGTCCAGGTACTGACCAGGCTCACACCTGCTGAGCTCCAGTGGGGCTGCCAGCTGGGAGCTGCAGGGTGATGTAGCTGCTACTTAGAAGGAAAAGGTTCTTCTCCAAGGATCAGCAACAACTGTGTGCCTCTGATGTAGCCCCGCCTCCTCGGTGCTCTTTCTGCAGGCTTTCCGGGGTTCCCCAGCTCCCAGCCTTCGGTGCTGCCCGGCGAGGACCCCCCGCCCTACTCCCCCATGACCTCCCCAGAGAGCGGCAGCGCCCCCATGATCAACTGCCGAGTGTGCCAGTCGCTCATCAACGTGGAGGGCAAGATGCACCAGCATGTGGTCAAGTGTGGGGTGTGCAACGAGGCCACGGTGAGTATCTGAACCCCACGCTCCCCCCTCCCATCCCGCCACCTTAACATACAAGTCATAAGGGGTCTTGTCGGAGGGCTCACCCCCTTTTCACCCTTGCAAGACCCCTGCCCTGCCCTGCCCTGCCCTGCCCTCTTCCACCACCACCACAGGGAAGTCTCAGCTCGAATCCACTGTGAATAATATGGCCTCTTTTCCTGGGAGACGCCTCTGTGTCCCCAGCTCTAACGGTAAAATATGTAAATGTGTATCGGGTGTGCCCCATCTAAAAACACAAGACCATCCATTTTCAACAGACGATCATTTCAGTGAACACAAAGCACAAAGTCCGGTCCTGAACAACTGTTCTCACCGAAAATCTAGAAAAAACTACACCTGTCTTTCCTCAAAAATACTTTAAAGCCAGATTCCTCAGAATTTAAGGTAGGTCGGCTTATAAAAACCGTTCAGGGTGACTTGAGAACTTCTAGGAGGGGAAGAAAATG